TCCTTAATCTTAACTAAAGTTTCGCCCTCATCCCTTCTAGCAAATATCCTTCCATTCCTACACCAAACATACCTGTAACCAAAATTCTTCAACTCTCTGGCCTTTTTCAATAAGTCTCTTGTCGTTTTTGGCAAGTCTTCATTTATATAGATTCTTCTCGTCTCTCCGTCTATTCCACAATCCTTAGTATCAAGCACTCTGATGGATTTTCGAAGTTCCAGTAGCTTCTTAGAGAGTTCTGGCTTAGTAAATCTCACAAGCTGAGTTTCAGTGCGAAGCGGCAAAATAGTATATTCTTCATCTTGAACAGCAAATCGAAGTTTATGGAACACTTTTCGTAAGTTATCAGTAGGGCTGCCTGGTAACCCAACAACGACCACATTACAACTTTTTTCTGAAGTTCTTCATTATCTATTTTTTGTTGTAGCACATGAACCTGATCCTCGAGACCCTTAACTTTGCCTTTTAATACATTTTGCTCCTTCCTGAGTCGCTCGTTCTCCTGACCAACTGCCTTAATTGTTTTTTGTAAATCATCAAGTATATCGCTGGTAAACTGAATAGATTTCTCCAAGACAGAAAATTTTGCTGTCATAACATCTAATATATCTTTATTAGAGGGGTTCGCTTGATTTAATGATTCATGAATAGAATAACGCTGTTGTGAAGTGGAACTTGTCGTTTGGATTTCCTCATCCGATTCAGATTGTTCGTCTCCATCACCGTCTCCATCAGATGCTTCAACACATTTTGGGCATTTCCATACATTCTTATAAGTTTTTGAACTGAATATTAAGTACTCCTCATTAGATAACTTCGTACACGCCTCATGAAACCATCCACTACACCCACCATGGCATCTCATAGATGCTTGCGATTTTGTAATGTTTGCTGAACAAGCATTGCACTTAATAACATTTTTCTTCTTATATTTTCCAACCATAACTACAATCGCAACTGTCTGGCAACCGCGCAACGTTAGTCGAAACAGAAAAAAAAACTCGTCGATTGTACACTTTTTACCGAAAAGATATCGTACGCTTTTTTGCCACGGCGCCGAAATATTCAATTACGTTTTTATTTGAATTTTATTAGTTTCAAATCTCAAAATCTGGTTTTGTTTTCTTAGTTTTTATCAAAAAATCACTTGTGCTACGCGTGCATTTATTTACCAATATTTCTGTTATTCGGATCTATTCAATAAACTAGATTAATTTACGGATTTATATCAACACGTCCGATACATCTGAATGTTCAACTACTACAGATAATAACCGACTATAGTCAGATAACAACCGACTATAGTCAGATAACAAATGACTAGAGTCAGATCATAACTGACTATAGCCAGATAATAAACGACTATAGTCAGATAATAACTGACTATAGTCAGATAATATTTTTAGAGACACCCTGTATACTTTTCTAAAAACATGCCGCCGCCACTGGACATTTTATGAAGGAAATCGGCCTTGTTTTATTACTACTACCTTCTCCTTACCGACGCCGCGCTGTTAGAAACTCCCTTGCCTCTCTTTATAGGAGCATCTTAAGTGGACCACCCTGTACGTAGGTTCGTAGGTATATGATATAAATGAGCATTATTTGACATATTCAATTGTTTTTTTATTGCTTCCGGTTTAACGTACACCCTCGATCCATTTGAAAAAATTGACTTAAAAGGTCATAAATAAGATTTTGCAAACTTTAAAAGGGTCTGTAGTAGAGTTTATACAGATCAAAAGACAATCACAGCTATTTTTCCATGACTACTTGATCCAAAATTAACCAACCGTTTTCACGCATTTATGGGCGCTCTGGATTGAAAATTAAAAATTTTTAGAGGTTAAGTTTTAAAGATGGGCAAATTGGTTTACATATATACATACATACATAGATGAAGTTGCAGAAACTTTATGGTGCGTTTAGACTTGAGCACGCACGCACTGATCCTCCGCGAATGCTCAAGTGTAAACGGCTGTGCGCGCACGCTCACTCTGAATCTGTCTGTACGCGAGCAGCCGCGAACGTGAGCCGTCTGGTGTCGGTTTTTGGTCTGTGCTCAAAGGGATTTTATGTGTGCGCGAACGCTCAGTTTGCACCGGCAATTTGTTTTGTCTGCGTTCGTGCGTGCGTGTGTGATTTTTTTTCGTTTTCTTTATTGAAATTATGGAGTGGATCAATGAATCTTCGTTATTATTAATTGAAGAATATGAAAAGTTGCCTATATTATGGGATGTTAAACATTCTGTGTATTATTAAAAAATTCTGTGTATTATTAAAAATGGTTTGCCATTTTTTAATAATACACATTCTGTGTATTATTAAAAAATGGCAAGATCTTGTAAATAAAATTAATATTGAATATGTCGATATTAATGAAATTTATCCAAAAATATCCTTATGGGTTTTTCGCCACTGCATTGCAAGAAAAATCTACAAAATAAAATAGTTATTTTTTTGTAAACACTTCTGCGTTAAACCTAAACGGACGCTGCTTGTCAGAAGTTGTGTTTACAGTAATAAAAATTTATAAAAAAAATAAAAAAAAAATAAATAAAAAAATAAAAAAAAAATAATAATAATAAATTTATAAATTCTCCATGCCATCCGTTAGCAAAATTTTTACTAGACATATTAAATCCGATTGCAAATAACACCGATTCATACATTAAAAACATACCACACTTTATAGAAAAAATTTCAAAAATTAATATAACACCTAACAGTTTAATGGTTAGTTTTGACGTTGTTAGTCTTTTCACTAATGTGCCGGTAGATAAATCACTTAAAATAGTTAGGGATAGATTAGAACAAGATACACATTTATAAGATAGAACAAAATTAAACATAGATAGTATTTTGGAATTGTTGACACTTTGTGTAAAAACTACTTATTTCCAATTAAATAATGAATTTTTTCAACAAGATTTCGGTATGGCAATGAGATCACCTCTCTCTCTCCTTTGTTAAGTAATATTTTTATGGAAGATTTTGAAAATAATACAATAAATAGTTTTTCAAAAAAGCCTGTAATATGGCTGCGTTATGTTGATGATATTTTTGCAATATGGCAACATAACGTTTCTGAAATAGACATTTTTTTGGAATATATAAATTCTCGCGAACTTACCATAAAATTTATTTTAGAAGTAGAGAGAGGTAATCGTTTGCCATTTCTTGATGTTTTAGTGTCAAAATTTCAAAATAAACTAATTTTAGATGTTTACAGAAAACCCACAAACACAGATAGATACTTAAATTTCACATCTAATCACAGTATAAGTGTAAAAAAAGGTGTTATAAAAAGTTTATCATACAGAAAGTTTGGGCTTTTTGGTTTTACCTTATTAAGTAATTATCAGGTAGTAATTGTTAATTTTGAAGTTTAACTTAATATAATGTCATTTTAACAGAACGTCCACGATTTCTTGTAGACGTATCTGTTTTAAAAAGTAAAGTGTTCTCGAATAGTTCAATTTAAATATTTTAAATATTTTTTTTTTCTTGATTCTTTATATTTTTTTGCTTCCGACGACGGAAAGAGAAAACTTTCCGAAACGTTAAGCATTTTTCTCTTTGTTAGGCAAATTTTTATTACTGTAAACACAACTTCTGACAAGCAGCGTCCGTTTAGGTTTAACGCAGAAGTGTTTATAAAAAAATAACTATTTTATTTTGTAGATTTTTCTTGCAGTGCAGTGGCGAAAAACCCATAAGGATATTTTTGGATAGATGAATCCGCCACATAGGTATAGACATTTTTTATTAATGAAATTGCTATTCTAAAATTTGTATCGTTTGTTCGTAATTTTTGGTGTTATTAAATTTTGTAAATATTCAAAGTCGGGTCTGGTCATTCTTGTAAAGTTTTTGAACTGATCATGGCCCTCCTCAGACACGAAGTTGTTGCAGTAAATTATATCGATTTCTGAAAATTTGAGTTTGCCACCAGCCACGATGTTTTCGTTTTTTCTCCTTTTTAATTATTAAGCTGTGCATAACAATGACTGCAGCCTCGACTATTTCTTGGTCGTCCATTATTTTCGCCAACACAACTCTGCTGTGCGCGCACAAATGGATCACTTCATTCGTCCAAAAATAAGTTTTTAATTTGAACGGAGCCGAGAGCGCGAATGAATGCCGTGCGCGCACGCTCAGCTCGTGCGTGCTCAAGTCTAAACGCACCATTACAAAGAGAAAAGATAAGAAACCTAATCTATATTTAAAAGCTTTTATTTAACTTGCATTGTATGTATGTATGTATGTATGTAACCCAATTTGCCCATTTTTAAAACCTATCCTCCAAAAATTTTTAATTTTCAATCCAGAGCGCCATAAATGCGTGAAAACGGTTAATTTTGGATCAAGTAGTCATGGAAAGATAGCTGTGATTGTCTTTTGGTTTTTATAACCTCAACAGAGCCTTTTAAAGTGTGCAAAATCGTATTTATCAGTAAATGTTTTCAAATGGATCGAGGATGTACGTTAAACCGGTTAAGCCGGAAGCGATAGAAAACAATTGAATATGTCAAATAATGCACATTTATATCATATACCTACGAACTTACGTACAGGGTGGTCAACTTAAGATGCTCCTATAAAGAGAGGCAAGGGAGTTTCTAACAGCGCGGCGTCGGTAAAGGGAAGGTAGTAGTAATAAAACATGGCTGATTTCATTTATAAATGTCCAGTGGCGGCGGCATGTTTTTATAAAAGTATACGGGGTGTCTCTAAAAATATTATCTGACTATAGTCATTTGTTATCTGACTATAATAGGTTGTTATCTGACTATAGTCGGTTATTATCTGACTATAGTCATATATAAAAAAACTCAGCTGGTCACTCAGCGCTTCCGCAGAATCGCAAGTGGGAAATTTAAATTCTAGTTAGTCAGCCCGGTGTCGAATATGTCCATGGTTGGCAACACTTAATTTAATAATCGCGCCCTTGATGACGTAGGTAACTAAAAGTTTATTTGGTATCGATTATAGATTACCTCTACTTCTGTAAACAACGCAGGATTTCTGAGCAATATATTATACATGCAATGTGACACGTTGAAGGCATGCTCCCAATTGTGGTAGGGATTTGGTCTATAACATTTTCGGACTGTTAAAATAAAATCGACAAGTAAACCTATGTTCATATCTGTAAACCCAACAACCGTTTTCAGCATGTGGTACACCATTTGCGGCATAATGGGTTCTTCTTCCACGGAGATATACCATCTAAAACTACAAGAAAGAGAAATACAACTTATTATTTTACATACTATAAATTTGTGTTCAACTGTTATCTCTGTTAAATTTGGCAAAATTGTAAAACGTAAACAAAAACAGTGACGACTGTTGAAATATACAGGGTGCTACAAATTCGAGGTACGAGCATTTGTATCTCGGTAACCGTAATAGATACGAACATGGTTAAATTGGGGCAAAGTTGCGCTTTAGGATGTTCACCAAGATGCCATCAAAAAAGTTTTAAAAATTTCAAGGATTGCTGAGTTTTTTTGGAAAAAACGGATTTTTTTGAAAATCAATTTTATTTTTTCTTGTCGTTACTTTTTAGAAAATCAAAAAAAATAATTGTACAGTTTCATAGTCATTTTATTAGGGCTATCTGATGGTATTCTTAGATTTTCAAATTAGCATATAATTTGTGAGATACAGAGGCCAACTTAATTTTTTTAAATAAGGACCTGCATTTTTTATTTTAGGTTTTTTAGGTCTCCTGAATACAATGATATGCCACACTTAGTATTTTTTTTTGTTTTGGACATTTGAACATAATTTATTTAAACTAATTTCAAGTCCGGCTCTGTTTTTTTTTAATATTTAATCTATTCATCGTTACAATATTGATAAGCATTCAAACTTAACAATGACGTTGGGTAAAACATTAAATCCGGAAAATCAAATGCAATAAAATAATAAAAAAATAAATAACATGAATATAATATAACACAAACAATCAAATCGTTTCCCCGGAAGATGGATTAGAAATGGTAGAGCAGTGTAATGAAGCATGTGTAAAATCAATACATTTCAATATTTACAATAAAGAGTACAAAATGCATTCGGTAGATTCGGAAGTATAAGAAGAAGACATGTTCAAAGAGCTATAAATGAGATTTAAGGAAAAATAAATTTGTGCATTATGAAGGGTGGTAGCCCGTTTGAATGTGTAGAGCATTAGAAACTAGTTTGTAGAAGTTGATTTATTTATAATAACTCCGATTAATATTATGCATATTATTAGATCATACACTGAGATTTCAGATTCACAATAAAAAAAAGTTAAAAATAATATATTTAAATTGCTGACCTGGATATTATTTATTTGAATCTTTCACTTGGCTTGATTTTCCTTATTCAATGTTAATTAGCGCTGATCAATATTATTGCAATGAATATAATCAGATTAAATAAATTAAAAAACCAGAGTCGGACTTGAAATTATTTTAAATAATAATTAAATAGTTTCGTTATTGTTAGGGTACCCAAAACAAAAAAAAAGTATCAAGTGTAGCATATCATTGTACCCAGGAAACTGAGTTCTTTCCATGTGCAGATCCGTCATTAAAAGAATTAAGTTGGCCACTGTATCTCACAAATTATCAGCTAATTTGAAAATCTAAAAATATTATCAGATAGCCCTAATAAAGTGGCCATGCGAATCTGCAATTCGTTTTTTGATTTTCTAAAAAGTAACGACAGGAAAAAATAAAATAGATTTTCAAAAAAAATCCGTTTTTTGAAATTTTTAATACTCTTTTGATGGCACTTTTGGTGAACATTCCAAGGAGCAATTTTGCCCCAATTTAACCATCTTCGTATCTATTACGGTTTCCGAGATACCAATGCTCGTACCTCGAATTTGTAGCACTCTGTATATTGGAATCCCTCTAGGTTTGCTAATTTCACTGAGTCTCAAACATATTTGTTCATAATACAGATGTATACGAATACGAATTTCACTTACTCATCAAAGCCACTCGGTATATTCACCTCTGTGTTCTCCAAAAAGTTCATGATATCGTGTGAACACGGTTTTATCTGAAGGCTTAAAAGCTGCATATTTGACTCATTTAGAAGACCCTACAATTAAAAAAAATATGCGTAATACAAGTTTTTTGAAGTGAAACTTCTTTACGCGCTCTGCGAGTAGAAATTCAAGGCCGTGACATGTCACGACACGCGTCACGTAAAGTGGTAACGACCAAAAAAGTAGTAAGACAATGAGGAAGTTGAGATAGGTCTTTGGAGCGTCGTAATTCGGGTCCTATATGAGTTAGGGGGCTGAAATTCGGAATGAAGATCGAAGAGTCCCATCTTTTTATTTATTTTGACGTTTCGTGCTTTGAATAAGAAGACTAAGGAAGGAGCATATCAAAAATCTTAGGTCCACCGCGATGGGACTCAAATATGGCCGACTTAAATTCCTGTTTATCAGTGCCGTTCTAATTTTATTTAAAAAATGTAAAAAAATATATAATTAGTTAATTTAAGTGAATTTCATAAATGATCACGTATCAAAATTTCATACAAAAATTCATAAATGATCACGATCATCAAAAGCAACGAATTAAAAAGTCGGTTTCCATTAGAAAAAATTGATTTATGATAATTTTTTAATCGCTCCATTATTATATGACATTCGAACAATTTAATTTTTAAATTAGATAGCCGCATGTTTTCTCTTTATGGCACAGTGGCTGTGGTAATTACTCAATTTGACGTTTAGGGTATACACATATTTTTGACAGGCACTTTTTTTCGTTCAAAAATTTTAAATATTTTTTTTCTCAAAAACGGTCAATGTTAGATATAGAGTGTTTAATATCAAAATTCATAAAATTTTACAGGGAATTTAAGTATGTAATAAAAAATGGGACACCCATTTAAAATAAGAAAGTTGCTGTCAACTTCCGGTATTTCCGGAAGTGCCGCCATATTGAAAATATTTTTAATCGATATATCTCCTTGTGAAACTATGATGTGCAAAAAATCTCCGAGTTAGATGTTGTAGTTCTCTAGAAACTTCTAATGTACGCTCAGCCTGGGACACCCTGTATAGATCATAATAAATATTATTTTTAGCCATTGAATAGTTAATGAATTTTTGTTCAAAAAATTCGTAATGATATGCGGATTCGAACGAATTATGGGTAATCAGTAAATACCTACCGTTTTATGCATTTTATTGTTCAGTTTGGCGTAGTGTAAAGCTAGAGCACAATATACAGAGAAAGTCTTGAATAAGTTTTCGTCAGACGATGTAAATACGACGCCATTTATTTTGTTTACCACTTGTACCACACCTGTAATATTATAGGAAAATATAATTTAATTCACAATTTTCAATATTTATAAGAAAACTGCTCGGGTAACTGTTAATATTTTCTTCTTTTCTACAATAATTTCATTCCTACTAAAGACGGGTTGTTACAGCCCTACTAAAGAACAGTTCTTAACCGTTTTGATACTTCTAAAATTTAACAGATATGAAAATAACAGTGCTTTTACATGGATCACTCGCTACTACTATGATTAGCTATTATTATAAATAGCTTTTTGATTTTCTAAAAAGTAACAACAAGAAAAAATAAAATTGATTTTCAAAAAATCCAGTTTTTTTGCAAAAAACTCAGCAATCCTTGAAATTTTAAAACTTTTATGATGGCATCTGGGTGAACATCCCAAAACGCAACTTTGCCCCAATTTAACCATGTTCGTATCTACGGTTACGGAGATACCAATGCTCGTTCCTCGAATTTCAGTAAAAAACAGAAACATTTCTTTAAACTGTTATTTTTCAATGCCAGTCAAAATTTAAATATAACAGTTTTGACCACCTCTGTTTCTTAAGCTTGATTTTCATGTATCCGTTATACGTTACGATGGTCCGACGATGCTCTGATTGGTCATATATAGCGTTTTCGCGCCACTTTTCATCCCTAAATATTTTACTTCAGCCCGTCAACGGACCCATTCATACGATAACGGACGTTTTGACACTTTTTTGACAAATTTAATCTAACCTTAATAAAAATATAAGTAAAATAGCAAAATCTAGAAACGAAAATATAAAATGTCACCAACGTATATCCGATAAACGGAAGCATGAAAATGCAATAAATTTTGCGTTATTTTTTAACCAATCAAAGTCTTTAAATTCTACCAATAAAATTAATATCGTCCGTTGTCCGACGTATCGTCGGACAACGGATGCATGAAAATCAAGCTTTACTCGCCTAAAATATTATCAACGCTGACTATCGGCATACATAATATCGACCTCGTAATTAACCCGGTCTTGGGTTCAACCTCGGTAAAGAACCTAGGGTCGTTGTAGGCGTCTCTCAGGTTCACAGTGACGCCCGTTCTGGCCACCAGGCCCGGTATGCTGCGATCCTTCGAGAGACGCACCTTGATGTTCTTCCTGTGCATGGTGGTGCTGCTGCCATCTATGCCTTCGTCGAACACTTCGGCCGTCATGTCGCTGGTCTCGGGGTCGATGATGAAGAAGGAGCCGCGTTCGGCTCCTAATGTAGCCTTGGCGAATTTCTAAAAGAAAAATCAAGACTATATATTGCCATAGAGTACAGCATTATAGGCTTGGTGCATTTTCCACCGGTGCATACAAATATTGTAATCGTAAAACATTTTCCGATGCACGTCATCAATCATATCGACATTGCAGGGCCGGGCGACCCGGGTGGTCGCCCGGGGCAACGTATGCGAGGGGCGCCACGGCAACAACTAGAATATTTAAAAACAGTAACCTAAACAAATAGTAATGAATAACCAGATCAATAATTAATCGGTACTATCAATTTCCACATTAAAATATTAGCAAATACCATACCACATATGGAAAAATATCTGACTAATTATTATAAACACTACTAAAAATATCCTAGGCCTATCCTATTATAGTTTACTGAAATTATGCCCAAAAAATCCTTAGCACCAAAGTTTCGGGATAGTTTTGATTTCTCCTATCCTATATATTTTTTTGGTGCTCTATTTGAAACTGGAATTTGCGAATTCATTTTCGTGGAAGAATCTTAAACAAAATAGAATAAAAAATTATAAATCTGATTTGTTCGTGGTATTTTACTTATAACTCAAAAGCTATCAACTTTTTGTAAATAATTATTTTTATAAATTTTCTCTAAACAAACTGTTTTGGGTCAAGAGCTAGCAAAATTGACAATTTTAGACTGACCGCTCAAAATCGCACCTTTTCTACTACCGATACCCTTTATTTGTTATTAAAGGCTCTGATATGCCCTAAAATTATACGAGCCAAATAGTTATTCGCAAGAAGCTCGATATCCTTATTATCAAAAAAAAGTAAGTTTGCCTCATTAATTAAATTAATTTATTAACGGTAGTAGGAAAATATATCGATCTTTTTTTTTGTGGTTTTGATTGTTCCGGATTGAATATGTAGTAATACACAGAAAATGGTAGCAGAATCGTAGAATTTTCTCATAAGAACAAGACAAAGACCTCATTTTGAAGCCGACAAAACTGTATCTGATCATAGTGATCATATATACTGATTCTGCATGAAATATGAAATATGAATGGATTGTGAAAAAGAAAAAAAAAATTCTTAAATTCTTATAGAAAAGTAATGCAACTGCTTGCAATTAAATACTAATGTTTCCAAAGATCACTTATACCAGAACGAGAGTGCCGAAGTTGGAATTCTATTCTTATAACTCTATATACCGGGTGAGTTTCAAAAGTGGGACCCCTAAACTTGTTTATTTTTTCGGATGAAAAAATGAGATTTGGTATATTAGTATACGACATAAATTAGAATTAACTGACGTAGTCAATTGTTTTTGGTCACTTTCTGTTTCACCGCAAATTACTACAACTTTTGGTTTTTAAATGGCACCCGCGATAGAAATTGACACTCTGAACAGAATTACTTATCATATGTGAACTTTTGACATTTTCGCATATGGTTTATTTGAAATTGTAACATGCGGTTCATAACAACAATTTGACACGAAATACCTAGTGTGTGGTACCATATTATTCATAAAAAAATGCCTTTTCCAAATATGCTAATGAACTAAACCTAACCTAACCGACACCTGTAACCTTTGTTCCGTTTAAAAAAATTGATATATGATTAAAAATACGATTTGGGCATCTTTTAACCGGCCAGGATAAAACACGAAAAACATTAGACGATCAAATATATATTTCAAGGCTCCTTGTTTAAAAATTCGTGTTTTTAACACAACCATGGCACTGTAGATTGAAATTTAAAATACGATTTTTTAAGCGAAAATGTCAAAAGTTGACATATCATCATTGTACCCAGAGTGTCATTTTCTATCGAATAAAGTAGAAAGATATCGAGGGTGTCATTTAAAAATCAAAAGTTTTAGACATTTCCGGTAAAACAGAAAGTTACCAAAAACAATTGAATACGTCAATCAATCCTAATTTATGTCATATACTAACATACCAAATTTCGTTTTTATCTAAAAAAATAAAAATGTTATAGGGGTGGGTCACTTTCAAGACTTTCGAGACCCACTTCTGGTATAGCAAAACAACAACCGCAGACTAAGATTGAACGAAGAGAAGAATTTTGAAGTATAGTAGTAAGTAATAAGTAGTAATAAGTGAAAATTTATTGTTCAAGTAGCATAAATATGCTTAGTTGTAGTTAAAGTATAGTATTGAAGGAAAGAGAAAGTTATAATAACTACGAGGGGGGGGGGGCGCCAGATAGTGTACTTGCCCGGTCTCAATATTTCCCTTCCGCCGGCCCTGCGACATTGACACTAAAGGCTATAAACCTGACTAAATGAAATTTTGGCAAAAACGTTTAAATTTGCTGTATAATTTAAGATACCGAGCAGCTCTTCATTTTACTTTATAGAGAAAATGATTGTAACAGATATTTTATTTAAATTAAAGATGCAAAAATTAGTTTAAACCGAATTTTATTATCGCTATGTTGGTCACATTGCGCCGTGTTCAGCAATGTTGCCCTTTATTATCTGACAATCAGTTATCCTAGTGCCAGTCATTATTTTGTATAATATCGTGTTGTTGTTGAATCTTTGTGAGTAATTCTCCTTCTTGCTTATTTTCATAGTCTTTTTTTTTAATTGCACTTTTAAGCACACAACAGTTCTTTGAAGAACTAAACTTTCGAGTTTTTGTATAGCATTTCTTGAAATCTGTGTGTTGAAAATATGCCGAAGCATTTAAACAGTCGAAGCAATAAGCTTGTAGCGTCCCTGTTTTTTTAAGCTATTTTGAACGAGAACGTGACAATAAAGGTCCTTTATTACCCTTGACTGCAGTCAGAAAAGTAAGTTTGATTGATAAGCACATTATGCCACTTTCAAAGTTAGTTTTTATTAAATTCTGTGATTATTAATTTGTGCATTAATAGCACCCTCTTACTTGTTAATAAATAACCCATAATAACGCTTATAATAATCTTCATAATGGACTAGTTTATGCCAATATGTAATAAGTAAAATAAGCTATAAAACAAATAATAAATCAATTAATCACTAAAATATTAGTTATTAAATTAAAAATAAAACGTAAAAAATGATATAATAAATATGTTGTTTGTCAATTTTAAATAATTAAGATTCATCTCATAAATCCATCACAATCTGGCAGCGCTGTCGCCATCGCTAGTCACTCAAAGTTGATCACGTGCATCGGAAATTGGTTTAAATAGCGAGTATGCGAAAAAAGTCAATTTTGTTGGTGAGGGGGACAACTTTTGACCCAAAAATGATTGCAAAATCTTCAACCCTTTAAGCGGGTGTGTCATCCCCCAACTTTTTTCAAATGGGAAGGGGGGTCAAGTTGCGCAGCAATGAAAAGAGCTTTCTATTCTCTATATTTTCCCGCTTCGTTTTGGAAAATCGGTCGAGTCATTGAGACAACGCACAAGTTACAGAACAGCTATCTAACAACTACCGCACCTGATCGTTCAACCTTGTGGCAAGTGAAAAAATGCGTAAACATTTAGAAATAATAATAAAAAACAGCAAATTGGTCGAAGGAATTTATCCTTATCATTTACTCTGATAAATGTTTAAATAAAATTTTCAAATTTCAATCCTTCATATTTTCTCAATGACTCGACTGATTTTCAAAAACGAAGCGGGGAAATATAGAGAATAGAAAGCTCTTTTCATTGCGGTGCTACTTGACCCCCCTTCCCATTTGAAAAAATTGGGGGATGACACCCCCGCTTAGAGGGTTGAAGATTTTGCAATAATTTTTGGGGCAAAAGTTGTCCCCCTCACAAATAAAATTGACGTGTTTTTGAATTTTCTGAAAAAAAAAACTCTGGCTGTCATGCCTTGCGGAACGTTTTCGATGGGCCACCCTGTATAATTATTCTAAAAGTGTTAGGAAGTATAGTTTGTGAAAATTCTAAAAAAAAAATAAAAAAGTTAATATTTTGATATCATCAAAAGGTCTAACTTGTATTATAATGTATTATTGAAGCTAATAAAACTTTTTAGATGAGTTCAAAAACGGTAGCGAGCATAGTTTTACGCACCGGTTAAGCGAGCGATTTCTTTGAAGCCACAGACACCGTGTTGAACTGGATGAATAGCCTAGATTTTAAAATTTAAGTGTACTTTTTGTAATATGTTTGGTGTATAACTTTTTAGATATCTAGTTTTATTTTTACAATTTGTGACAATCTGTTTACATGTTATATTGTGTTTGAATATTATACATTTGATGTTGTAATTAAATCCATGTACGCCATACGCTAAATAAATACGCACCGATTTTGCTGGAGGGGACATAACTTGGACTATTTCGTCTATAACGAAAATTTTTGAAGGTTGCATTGATATTCATAAAAAAACTTTAGCACTAGTTGATTTAAAAAAGAGTATACCATTAATATTGCAAAATATATTTTATCCTCTCATAGTATGTCTATTTAATTATTTGATTATGTAATAGGCACTTGCTGTAAAGCTATAAAATGTTGATTCGGGAGAGTTGAATATTCGAGAAAGTTGAGTTATTGAATGTTATTGCACCCAATAACCACGTAATTACGCCCTCCTTTAACGCGTTAACATTTTTCGGCAATTTGATTAACATTTGAAATTGTCAGAACACAACGCGACGCCCAGTTCGAGTTCTTTTTCACTTAATTTTTACTACCCGAAACAGCGTTATATCCCACAAACCTCGTACCTAAGTATCTTATAGTTTCAATAACTGCACTAGCAGAAAACGAAAATACTTAAATATTATGACAAAACCACGATTTCAATATCACTTTAATGCGATCAACATGAACTGAAACCGGGACGGCGTGAAATACATAGCGAAAATTTCTGATTTCTGCCGTATAGAGCGCTGCCATCGAAATTTTTTGAAATAAACTGAAACGCACCAAGCCTATAAAGGCGGGTTCTCACTTGTCAGTTTCGCTGACGCAGTCTGACTGATTCAGTGATACTGAACAAATAATGAACGTCAGAACACATTTTCATGTTAAATGATCAGTAAATTCGTACTTTCAGTTAAAGTGAAAACCAGTTCTACTTTTTTCATTTTTGACTGATCATTATCGAATAATGAATAGAAACTGAAGCGTGAGAACTACATTTTCGTGATTTGTTCAGTTTACAAGTTAAAGTTTGGTTTGGTAATTTGTAATTAATTATTTTAATATATATCTCCAAAAAATCCTTTATGGGTATTTCGCCACTGCACTGCAAGAAAATCTACAAAATAAAATAGTTATTTTTTGTAAACACTTCTGCGTTAAACCTAAACGGACACTGCTTGTCAGAAGTTATGTTTACAGTTATACAAATTGGCTTAACAAAGAAAAAAATGCTTAAGGTTTCGGAAAGTCTATCGTCGGAAGCAAAAAAATTGAAAGAATAAAGAAAAAAAAACTATTTAAAATATTTAAATTCAAACTATTATGAGAACACGCTTTTTTTAAAGCAGATACGTCTACAAGAAACCGTTGACGTTCTGTTAAAATAGAACGTCAACGGTTTCTTGTAGACGTATCTGCTTTAAAAAAACGTTTTTTTCTTTTCTGATTCACCAGAATATTCTGTAATTCATTTGCTAATTGTAAACAAACTTCGCGAACACCTATTTTCAATTTTGTTTTAACCATTTTCATGTCTGCGAAATCACCACGTTAAAATGTTTGGACCAACTGAATACTGAATGTAGCAAAACATGAAACGTGTGAATACAATCGTTGATTTTTATTTTTCATTGATAATGAATCAGTCAGACTGCGTCAGCGAAACTGACAAGTGAGAACCCGCCTTAAGCGATACCAAAATCCAATGAGTCGAGAGACGTGGAGGAGTTTTTCGCTGATTCTTGGTAGGTCCGACTTACTTGTTTGACTGTCGGGAAATATTTTTATTCTATTATTTTATTTTTATTATTTGTAGATATTGTTTTTTAATAATTTCTACGTGTATATTTTGTGCTATCTTGTTTTTTATTGTTTTTTTTAATTTTTTTGACAAAGTTTTGTATATTTGTATTTGTTTTATGTTTATTTATTATTTGCCACAGCTTTGTAAACAAGAGAAATCTTATAACAATAAAGCAATTATTGATACGACTTAAAAATATGGCAGAAAAAACAATTAATTGTCACTGTCATGGACCCTGACAAATTTTATATAGAGTTCAGAAAATCTTACCACAATCTCCGTAATTAATTTTTCCAGAGGCACATTATCCGCAAAGTAACACTTAATCAAATCTAGCAAGTAGTCGTTCAACTCTTGCTGTTTCTGTAAGGCCAGCCTCAGTCTGTTCTGGTGTATGGCTGCTCCCATCCATCCCGATACCACTATGGATATCTTCAAGTCTTCCTTGTTGAAAGGCGGCTCTGGTACAGATCGGTACATTTCCACTATAGCGTAGCAATCGCCATCTGTCGTTACGATGGGTACGCATAGAACAGATTTGATCATGTCATCTGAAAATGTCCGAAAATTTTAATAGGCTCTATGATTGGTAGGTGGTAATGTTTATTAATTTTTCTTCATATAAACAATCAAATTGTGGTTAGAAAATAAAAAGTTTATTGTTTTAAAATCTAATTATTAAGCTTCATTCAGAACCTCGAAATTAGTGGAATAAATTAGTAGTTTCAATTACGTAGAAGTTTGTTCACCTAATTTTAATGTAAGCATTCAGAACGTCATAATTAGTGGTAGTAATTTTCAATTATTGGAAAAAGTTAACAAACTTTTGGCTTTTCTACTAACTATATTTTTGCGAGGAAAACACAATTAAAATTAATAGAATCCTAGCAACAGCTTGCGTTAGTCAGTTGTATCCATAGAGAAAGCCTAATACTTAACTTATACAACAATCAAATTTTGATTTCTAACCACAATTTCTCTTGACGGAAGATAATCAAAGGTCAAAATGGCATTTCTCGCAAATTTTGAAGTATAATTAATGGAAAAGTTAAAAGTTTGATAACTTTTTTTACGACTAATTTTGACGTTCTGAATGCTTACATTGAAATTAAAGGAACAAACTTACTACGCTAATTGAAACCACTAATTTATTCCACTAATTGCGAGGTTGTGAATGAAGCTATAAGACCGAAAAAATTGGTAATTTTATTAACTTTTGTGGTATATAAAACAACTTTCGGGTGTACAAAACTATAAAGTCTGCCAAACAGATAAATAGCTAGATATAACACACGATAGTGACAACTGATGTTTGTCACTTTAATTAACTGGTAAATTGTATCCTCATTTATTTGATATCTTCTGGCGAAATCTTACCAGACTCTTTGAACATACTTTAGACGGTTGATTGAAAGAATTGGGAAGATACACAACCTAATGTGCAAATTCGTGATTTCCCCTTACATAGGCTGATTTGATTTCCACGTACGTCTCAAGCGCATCTCAATCTCAAGTGCTGTACGGTGGAGCCTCTACTCGTTCTGCAGCCAACGCATAAAACACTCATTTTCGCTAATTCGGCTAGCGAAGGCATATCGAAGACGGTGTGGAACTGAAAGCGACAGTGTTGCCATATTAAAATGTGTATTACGTTTGACGACAATATCTTTGGATGAAAAATCCGCGTTTATGTATTGAAAATTTATTCGTGTTAAACATAGAATAAATAAAAATTCTTTTATAGGTCTTGGAAATGACGACTATTGACATTTACCATAATATTTTACATATGAAATAACAACGATCTTAATTTCCAAGCCAACTCTGACGCCGTTCTTTGTTTAATCATATAATACTATATTAAATTGTTCAATGATAGAAAATGCGTATAATGCGAATTAATCCGTAGTTCTGGCAACACTGTCTCCGGCAACCACCCACTCGCCCACTCGGTCGACTGAAAGCAGAACTATGGTACAGTATTCTTTATCCGCTGCGCTGTAAACGACTATCGGCGCGCAGCGGCGCAGAGCTAAACTAAATCTCGGGTATCGGTCTGCGACGGTATCGCCAGCTACATCTCGGACAGATTTTGTGCCACGAAATCGCCCATAAGGTTGCGCAACTTCTTATTTCTTCAATCAACGCTTTAAACATTCATAAAACAATATTTTTATTTATACCTTGGTATCCTAATCCAGCAGGAAATCTTTCGTCACAGAGGATATCATCAACCATAACGTATTCTTTTTTGTAAGCCACATACGCGGCCAGTGTACTGCCTTTCTGAATCTTCCAATTAACTTTGTGTCTTTCATCAGTTATATTCTTGGGAACCTGGTAGATTTCTTCCGAAGCAGTATCAACCATATAAAGAGTTACACCTAAATTGGATTTAAAAAAGACATGTCAAAAGAATACAGAAATAATTAAATAAGTTTGTTCAACGAGAGGACACAGTGACAACAGTTGTTGTCTGTCACTTTAATTTACAGATTATTACTTTTTTATTATATATTCTGTCGTTCTTCGATGTCGTTCTTCCTGAAATTCTTCACTAACTCGTTGGACAGACTTTATCACTTGTGTCTAGCCCCAGCAGGCAACTATTAAGCCCGACCAATCACTTTAGAGTTTTTGACCAAACACAACCAATAACCACGCTAACCAACCTGATCGGTCAAGCTTAATAGTTGGCTGCTGGGGCTAGACACTTCTGACTTTATACGGGATAGGGTTATTGACATATTCGAGTTATTGTAGTAGATTAGGTAGGTTAGGTAGAGTATTGTAGATTAGGTTAGGTTAAGTTGTTGGGTTTTGGGATCCTGTTTGATCCCTCACTCGGAGGCCTTAGGCCCATTGCGAGATCTCTGTATTATGGTACCAAACCTTCCTCTCATTCTTTCTTTGCGTTAAATCACTTCCAGCTGCAAGCACTCCATTCAATTCCCGATGTCGCTGATTTTGGCTTTTGCTTTCCTCTAGTTCCTTCAAAAAACCGTGCCCTAAAGTTTGAAAGCGTCGGTATTCCAGTGGCATAGCATGTGCTCTATGGTTTCTTCTTCCTCTCCCCATTCTCTGCAGTAATCCTACTCGGAAATCTTTCATCTCATTATGCGTACTAGGTTATTTTTGTGCTTTAGTAGTTGTTTAGTCTTTTTATCTACCATTGGCCACAGTCTTCGAGTTGTACCGCAGTCCTCACGGTGTTGCCGCGTCTCTTGCTGCTTGGCCTCGATGGTAGTTCCTATAGCTTCCTTCAGTGTGTTCATCGTCACAAGTGGTAGGTCATCTGCCACGGCCTCTCCCCTGGCCCGCTCTTTGAAGAAGAGTCTGTACGCCTCCTAAAGTCACGGAAATATCTATGCAGACTGCTATCTCTTGAGTATTCATTACTAGGTTACTTTCCCACTTTTCTCTTGTCGGGATGCGAATCCTTATCCTTTCTCAAAAATCATGTTTGGTGAGCATATAGTCCGTTTTCTTGTCCAGCAGATGTGGACTCGTGTTCACCACATGTGTTTTCTTATCATTAACATTATCCTCGAGTAACCGTAGTTGGTCGGGTTCTACAGATTGGATTCCTTTAATCTTAGGGCAGCCTTAAGCTTAATTTTCATGCATCCGTTGTCCGACGATACGATGATAAGATATTAATTTTATTGGTTGAATTTAAAGGCTTCGATTGGTTAACCGTTTCTAACCAATCAAAATCTTTAAATTCAACCAATAAAATTAATATCGTATCATCGTATCGTCGGACAACGGATGCATGAAAATCAAGCTTTAGCTGTCAGATCCTTCACAAGTCTAATTACTTAGGACAGCTTGCGCTGTATTGTTCCTTATTAGTATTGTAGATAAATGATTAATATTTTTAAAAAATGTGAGTGTTGGAGAACTACTACAGCTGCAATGTAAAATTATTTTTATAAAATACAGCATGTACGTAAGTTGTATTTTTTAAACTGCACACCCCGTATATTATTACATTTTCAGCATTTATTTGAATCAGAAATCAAGACTAAATTACTTCACTTACCGTAGGCTTTTGTAACTAGTTTCAAAACTTCTGCAGTTTCCTGCAACACTGAGGCCAAATCAACACTATCCGACAAAAACGAGGAAAGATCTTGCATCAACACACTCGGTTTGTTTTGTAAATAAAAGCTGAACTTTTGGCTCTCTTTAGTTTTGTCCAAAACCCCCCTACTTTTGCGAACTATTTTCACATAGGGCGCTATCACTCTTCTAGTAGCTTTGTCAGAAGTATCCAAAGTCATTTGGTCTTTTAAGATTTTCTTAGTAGCCATTTTGGTATGTATTTAAAAATCAGTATATAAATTATTTTATGTAAGTATGCTTACTGTCAAAATATTTCAAAAATATGGGTTGACAAGTTATAAAACTATAATTATATATTAAGGTACAAAAAAGGTGTTACTTCAGAAAATAATACTGAGGTAAAACAATAAATATATTTGAAAAAGATTAGAAATTAATATATTACATTCAATATTATTATTAGTTATAGTACAAGAGCTAGCAACGTCGGGAAAACAAGTATTTTAAAAAAGTTGCCTCCTTAATATATCGTTTATTATGCTCTCTGGAACAGCATGCTGCCCGTCTGGCTGCCGGTAAACGTTGCGTTCCCTACTGCGCATTGAAAGAAGATCCTATAGTTTTATTAGTCCATTAAATTCTAGTATTGAATACAAACCGATCAAGTCTCCATGGCTCAGCGCGTAGAGGTTAATATCAAGCGAGGAGTCAGAGTTCGAGATCGGGTCAGGGCAAAAAATTTTTTAATTTAGTTTCTTTTATATTCTGATAGTAAAGTATTAAATAATTCTGGTGATTAAAAAAAAATTAATGCTTTAATATCAGAATATAAACAAAAATAAAATAGTTTATAATAAAAAATGTGGTATGGTAATTGGTTATATATCGTTCTGTTTATATAATGTCATTTTAACAGAACGTCAACGGTTTTTGTAACGTATCTGTTTAAAAAAAAAACTAAAGCGTTCGCATATAGTTGAATTTAAATATTTTAAATAGTTTTTTCTTTATTCTTTTTATTTTTTTTGCTTCCGACGACGGAAAGAGATAAACTTTCCGAAACGTTAAGCATTTTTTTGTTCGTTAGGCAAATATGTATATTTTTAAAGTGTTTACATAAAATAACTATTTTATTTTGTAGATTTTCTTGCAGTGGCGAAATACCCATATAGGATTTTTTTAGTTAGGTTACTAGTCTGCGCACATAGCACGCCCACTTATGGCCTCTAAAATTGTGCCAGCGCCTGACCGGCCCAGTTATTACGCTGTTTAAACGCGAGTTTATTTTTGCGTACAGGAAATTTTACTCGTTTGCTCATCGTCATAAAAAACAATTTTCGTACCATGAATTAGAGACAAGATTTTTATCTGTATACATATAATATACCTAATCTGCGGCAAAACTATTAACTGATTTTTTAGCCCTCTGTGATTTTTAGCCTGTGATCTGCAACACCTAAGACAATGATAATGTTAGTTAACTTATAATCAATTCATAGACGGAGAGGCAAAAGAAATACAGGGCTGCCGATTTTTACGTGCTATAAATTTCTCTCAGACGACCAAGGTATAAATGAAATTGAATTAAGACACACCACTAGAATCTGGAATATTATGTGAGGTATTACAGTACAACTGCTGGATCTGTGTCTATGAAAGGAATGCGGACAAAAAACATTTAAATAAACAGCAATATATTTTATACGTCGATTTGACGAGTGCGTCACCGCAAATAGCTCCGCCCACTCATTTTATTGGCTACTTGCAAATTTGTTGAATTTTTATCGATGGGACGCGTCGTCCCATAGCTACAGATACCCCGTAGCTACAGAACGGACAGACGTACTGTATAACTGTACTAAAATGACTAAGAGCGTCCGCACACGGGTCGTCTGGCTTTCGAAGCGGAAGCGTCTTGAACTCCGAGCGAATTTCCGCTCTACCTTCGTACAAAAATAATAATATCAATCTCAGAGTAAGTATAATCTAAGGTATCAATCCGCGTCGACCGCCAAACGACGCGTTCGTGGACCTACTATTATTTTCGTAGGAATGGAGGGAGATTCGTTCCAAGTTCGAGACGCTTTCGCTTCGAGTTCGAGACGACGCGTGTGCGGACGCTCTAATTGTTCATACATTACTGCCATAGATAAAAGACTTATACTATTAAATAGATAGGCAACTTATAATACATTTCAATTTTATTATACAAGGGCGCCTCTGGTAGTCGGAGGAAGAAATACTAATGGAAGAGAGGGGTGCGGGGAAGGGGGGTTGTTTTAATTAATTTAAAATAAATTTAGACATACATGTAAGAACACTTTGTGTGCTTTTAATTAGGTCGAACATATTATAAACGATAAATCAACTTAATTAAAAGCATACAAAGTGTTCTTATATGTTGGATATTAATTTAAAAATATATTAAAAAGACTAGAAATAGTATATATTAAGTTGTTACAGTTATAATTTAATCTTTGGCGGTTTTCAGCAAATAGCAGGCAGTTTTACATAATTTTCCTCCCTTTGAAGTGAATTGGAAACGGCTATATAATTTTGGTGTAGGCAAGATTCCCAGTTTGTTTCCGTTTGAGACCTGAAATAATAAAAACAAATTAAATTAGATGTAATCATCTGCTGAACATGCTAATATAACACAACGCGCGTCCTTAATTCCTTACATGCACCGTAAAAAAATTTAAATAACTGCTCAGCAAGTAGCATTTATTAGCAGTACTAATTTAAAAAATCTATAACTGTAAGTAGATATGTTTAATTTACTTACCATTGTATCCTTCGGAAACCAGGTGTACAACAATTAAACTCCATGATAAAAAATAATTAAGAGTCTATACAAAACACAAATTGTCCCACCATTTTTAAAAAAACATTGTCTAAAACAGAATACTGGCAAAAACTCTGAAGGAATTTAATTTTACAATAATTCGACAAATCAAAACGAAATCAAACCGTAAAATCACAACAAAAGCGTCTCTGAGTGACAGTTAAAAATCAAATTTTATTATTGTCAGATATTGACATTTGCATTGTTAATATTGACAGTTTTAATATTTTGCGCCTCTGCATCTTGGAGGAAAAACTATTTTTAATGAACCGTCATTTCCATTTAAGTTTCCCAGCCATGATTACTGCATAGATAAAGGAAATAAATTTAGATTGGAAAGCCCGGCGTCAAAATATATAATTGTTTTGTGTCGCGACCGTTGTACGCGATCTGGCACTGCTATAGCGGTTACTGAGAACAACCGCAAACAATAACAATTCTTTGACAATTTAAACCGCCCTTATTGAAAAAATACCGAAAAGTGTTTAATGCGTCCATTCTCAAAGTAATTATTGCTATCTTGTGAGTTTAATTTAAATTTTACTTACTCAAACCCGTGATAATAATTGTGAAGAAGTGGCATTAAAAACTAAAAAACTGTGTTGTGAACCGTGAACTGCAAAAATAATAATAAATTTGAATAAACAAAATTTCGGCGACATAATTTCGGAAAAAGCCGAACTTATCAAAAACTTTGGGTCGCGACCGTTGTAAGTACAGCGCCAAATAGTGTTTACATTTTCCTTATGGGCACTTTCCAATCTAAACTTGTTTCATTTATCTATGCATTACTGTAAGAGGAAACGTCGACAATATAGCATAGTAGATACGTATTATTTTTATAACAGGTTAAAAAGAATATTGAAATAATGACATAGATTGAAATAAATTGTCATAACTGTAAATTAAAACTAATTTTTAGCAAAATGAAATATTTATTATTTTAACAATACAGTATACTTTTTTTAAGTATAAAAATAAAAGTAAAATACTTTTTTTTATAAAATTAACAAATTTATATACAAAATACATAAACACATGCCAAGACATATGAATTTAATTTTTTTATTTACAAAACCTATATCAATATGTTTCTTTCATAATTCTAGAGAATATAAATAAATAAATACAACAGTTTTTAAAATATGTTTCAAATTAAATTATAATTACTTATTTACTCTAAAGAAAACATAAAGTTATTCTCAGAAAATGTAGAATCAAAGATATCTCGTACGTATTTTGACTGTTGCAGATCGTTATAAGTTTGAATCCTGCGATATAACACGGGACAATCTAAGGATATACATTTGATGTCCTCTAAATGACCAGTACAGCAATGACATATCTGTAAAGTTTTCTTCATTTTTAAAACTGTTATTTTTTTTTCGGTTTATGTATCTCTACTGTTAAAGTTTAAAAAAAAATCTTGAATAGGTAAAAATAAGAAAAACATATATTAGAAGATAATATTTAACTATAATTTATGTTTATATTTATAAAATCACTAATAGTAATTGCAAAAGTTGAACTGATAAAAAAATAGTATTAACCAAGAAATGAAATATACGAAGAATATACGTATACAGGGTGGTCCGAATTGTGTTCTGGAAACTTCGGCAGCATATTCTGCAGATAAAAATAAGTAAAAAAGTTCGTATAAATGTATGTCCTAACTTAGTTTCGGAGATACAGGGTGTAGAAGTTTCCTTTTTATTTCGAGTTTTTCCAAATAATTTCTGAAGAAACGTCAACATTTCAATGAAAATTATTTTTTGGTAATTTTTTGACTTATGAGAAATTTGATTTTGATGTCAACCTAACTCCTACGTGTAGAGGGCGCCACCTACATATTTTTTAATTGGTTTGAAGAGTAATAACTTTTCGTCCGTACCTGTATAACACTACTAAGTAAAAAAATTACATTTACGACTTTTTTTTACGTAAAAAAGGTCTCTTGGTAAAAATCGCTACGAGTAATTAAAGGTTCTCGAGATATCAGAAATCGAAATTATCAATACCTGTCATCATTGACATAAATTAAAGATATTGACTAAATAGTTATTAGGCTGAAATCATATTGTCAAAACGTATGTGGCGCCATCTGTCGGAGAAGCGAGAAACTAAACCGCAACGTGTTCTTGAAACCTGGCGAATTCACCAGAAAATAAAAGAAATACTACAGAATTCTAGAATAAAACTTTCCGGAAGATCCACAGCTATATAAAAGGCGCGCGATCGGCAGTTGAGACAGTTTTGAAGTTTGAAAATACCGCGTTTTAAATTGCGAATTAATTGGCGAAGGTGCCAGAAAAGTTAGAGTAATAGTAGTTGCATAAATTGTGTATTGTAATTAGTATAAATTGTGTGTATAAAGTGAGAAAATAAATTCGTTTGGTTTGGTTAGTATTTTATCGTGAGTTTAAATTAGTGGACCCACGGAATCTGTAACAATATAATTGAAATGTTTTTGTGTCAAAAGTTTAACAGAAACTGTTTTACCATCATTTTTTCGCAGAAAAAATTATGATTAATGTAAAAAAATAAAAATTTTCCGAATTTAGTCAAATAACTATCTACTCAATGTGTTTATTTTTCGTCAATAATGACGTGTATTGACTATTCCCATTCTAAATATCTTGAGAACGGTTGCTTGTAGCGATTTTTACCAGAGACATTTTTTACGTAAAAAGCCAAGAAAATGTATATTTTTTCACTCAGTAGTTTTATACAGGTACGGAGAAAAAGTTATTAATTTTCAAAACAGTTAAAACATATATGTGGCGGCGCCCCCTACAAATAGGAGTCGTATTGATATCAAAATCTAATTTCTCATATCAAAAAACTCCCAAAAAACAATTTTCATCCAAATATTGACGTTACTTCAGAAATTATTTGGAAAAAATCGAAATAAAAATGAAACTTCTACACCGTGTATCTCCGAAACTAAGCATTTTAGGACATACATTTATGCGAACTTTTTTACTCATTTTTATCTGCAGAAGATGCTGCTGAAGTTTCCGGAATACAGTTCGGACCACCCTGTATAACTATCAAATCAAACTTACCACTTTAGTATCAAAGTAATTTTTCTCCCAATTTCTTAATTTTTCTGCTAGAGTTAAGGCAGTAACGTTTGGTTTTTGTAAGCATTTAACACAAAGCCCCTCCTGAGCAGGTTGGGAACAGCTAGCACAAATTTTTGAGGTAAAATACTGAGAAATCGTACTTTTGGTCGTAGGGGAAGAACTGGGTAGGTACTGAATATTTTTTCGAGGCATTTGGTTAAACCTGCAAAGATATTCATTGACAATGTTGCAAATATTTATAAATTACCATCAATAATTTTACAGTATTTTAAGTTTTTATAGGTCAAAAATTATAGGTGAATTTTCCAAAAGTCGTGTAAGATTTGTATATTAAAGACCATGTCAAAAAATCCTTTATAATAAAATTATATAAGGATTCTTGCCACTTAACTGCTGATATAGAAATTTAATTCCACGCTGTGTTTGTCATAATGTGGATCAACCTGTTCTCACTACCGGTTTTGGAGCCCTACTCCATCATCAGGTGAGCTTGGGCAGATCCACAAAATGACAACCACAGCGCAGAGATAGTTAATTCCGACTTGTCGGAAAGTGTCGGTTAGATATTAAGTCCCGAACGGGAGATAGCGGCCTGCGTGCATTTTGTGGATCTGCCCAAGCTCACCTGATGATGGAAACCGGTAGTGAGAGCAGGTTGATCCACATTATGACAAACACAGCGGGGAATTAAATTTCTATATCAGCAGTTAACTGGCAAGAATCCTTATATCATTTGTTTTCTATTTTATAAAAAATCCTTTATTTAATACTTACCAAGTCATAACATCGGCTCCTATCAGATTCAAACACCGATTAAGGGGTGGAATAATGACTTTGGTTATGTAATAGAGGGAGTTAAGCCTAAGCGAGTTGTCGTTTAATACATCCATAGGACTTCTGACAAGTCGAATAAGCGGCAATCCTGGTGGCCCATTAATGATAACATAGGGTACTCTTTCGGCGCTTCTTGGTTCGCTTCTCCTGTCAATCGCACGCCATTTTCTTCAAAAAACAAGATGTAAATATATTAAAATAAAACTCAGGCTGTAATATAATATAACAATAGTCGTCCGTATATAGCGTTTACATGCCTTGGGATTAGCTAGGTTAAGCTAAAAAGGTAACAGCTACTAGTTATGCTCGAGCCGTTCGTTATACAAGGAAAGTAGTGTAGCTAGCAATACTTTTCAACCGCCTATTATAACCAATTGATAAAGAGAGATACAAAGAAATAAAGGTTGCCGATTTTTACGTGCTGTAAGTTTCCCAAAGATGACCAAGGTATAAATGAATTTTTTTTAATTTCATTTATACCTTGGTCATCTTTGGGATATATAACGCCAATTTCTTATTTTTAGGATTTTACAATATTATAGTAGGTCTAACTGGTCCCTACAAAATGTATAAACTCTGCAGGGCAATCCTATAATACCGTGCTGGTAACTGTTACTTTTGGGTCGGTACTAACGTGTGGGAGTAAATGGCATAGGGATCTTATTAAGTCGGAATGAGAGAACTGCGACGGTGTTCTGTTTCGGCGTTGCCGGTACGCGCTTTTCCCTTTCATCAGGTAAAGTAAAATCACGATCGCAAAATGCTTATTTTTAAACGACTTTTTTTCGAAAAGATAACTAAATAAAATCATTAGATATGTTTCTGAGCATCTGAAATGGAATTATAAGGATATCGTTAGGGTGTCAATTTTTTGTAACGATAAAACGGCAGTAATCGGGATAATTTAAAACTCTTTTTAACACATAACACGCCATAACTTAAGAACCACTTAAGATATTGAAAATTTTTTTATTTTGAAGATCGGATGTTTTACAATATGTTTAAGTAAGAAAAATTCGATAATGCTGTTTTTTTTCCATTCAAAAATTTTAAACAACCTATCCATTTACTTTTAGTGCATAGCAATTTTCAGCAAACGTGTAACTTTTTTATTTATAAAGATTTTCACATACTCTCTGCGAAGAAAATATAGCAGAAATGTTAAGAAAGTCTTTGAAAAAACTACAATCAATTATTTTTAATAGATTTTAAAATATCGATTCATTTTGAGTTCTAATAGTGCGACCACTGTCGAACACCAACCCAATTCCACTTATTTTTACCAAAAATCCAAGTGTTTCTAACTTGCACTTAAAAATTTTCAAGCTATAGGAAAAATTACAACGACTCGTTAATAAATAAACAAATAAAGTATCACGAGACGTAATTAAATCATGAAGCTGAACGCATGATGTACACCTTTCCCTAGAACTTTAAGTACTGACAGAGGTACAGGGTACTGATTGGGTCGACCGTCGACAGGTGGACTGCGACAAATCTGCTATATCCCGTTCCACGTCTCTTATCAATGTGCGCAGTTTCTCGGTTTATTTCGTACGTTTGGCAACGTGTTTACTGTTCTCTCTTTGTTCAGTACATTATAAACGCATTGTACTCTTCTTACATACGGAAATCTCGACCCAAGACTAACCTTTGCCAGCCCTTAGTATATGCCTAGTAAAAATCTAGAATACACGGAAAGAACCGTAGTAGTAAGGCGCTTATCATGTTTTTCCCCTGGACCCTTCAGTTATTCTGCCATTCAGGGTGGAGACCAATCCAACAAATCAGAGATCAGCAAAACGAGTCCATCCGTTCTTGAGTTATAAACTAAACCTACTTTGTTTAATTTATTTAGAGTATTTATTTTGAAAAATGGTACATACTTTGCTAATTCAAGTGCTGGAACACAAGCCCCTGGCTTGTATCCACTAGCTCCCCTGTATTCTTTAGCAAATGTAAGATCCTGAATACTTGCTCTACCAGCTATTATTTTATTGAACTGCTTTAGAACGTATTGCTTGATACTACTCACGTCCTTGGTGTCGAATAAGAGGATCAGACATTTTTGTAACATCTAGAAGAAAAAATATTTACAAAATTAAATAAAAATTACTAATATACAGCGAACAAACTTTTGAAACTGCCGGACAACCGTCCCTTCTAACAGTCTCAATACCCTTGGCTTCGTATACCGGTTCTTTTTGATCGGGAGACTCGTACATGTATCCGACGTACCGCTTTTTTGTTTGTAGTATACAGGGTTGGTAGACTTTTTCCAGTTTTAGTTTAATAGGGTCGGGGTTGTCGTTTGTAATGGCCTCGGCTATTTGTTTGCCTATTTCAAACGCTTCTTCTTTGGTTTTTCCTTTTGTCATGACGAATAACGAATCTGTATCACCATAAACGACCTATTAATGAAAAATCGCCGTTGTTAAAAAATACGTATAATTTCGAAATATGACGGAATAAGATCCGTCGAAGTAATGAAAACTCATCTTTATTTAAATAAAAATAAAATAGGTAAAAATATATATTTCTTTAAATTTTTACTTAAATTATTCTTTAAACTCTATTAGCCTACAGCATTTTTAGCATTTTGCGTCTGAAGCGCTTTTTGCGATTTTACCGTTTTAAGCGTTTTTTTCGATTTGTGTCCATTAAAAGCACGCAAAAGACGCGGCAGGTCTGCAGTTTCTATCAAGATGTCAATAAGTAACGTCGCAAGCTCGTGGATTCCCGGCCCGTTCAACAATCAATCCTGTGAGAAAGATAGTCGATAGGCGAGATCAGCGCGGTTAGCGTTGAAGAGACGAAGATAAAATGGTAAAATTTCCAGTGCGCAAAAATAAACTCGCGTTTAAACAGCGTAATAACTGGACCGGCCAGGCGCTGTGCACAATTTAAGAGGCCATAAATGGGCGTGTCATGTGCGCAAACTAGTAACCTAACTAGTGCGCGATTCCGAAAATTGGAACCACGAAAAACAATGCTTTTGACGATAAGTTTATAATCTGTATAATCTGTGCTATGGCTATGATCTCCTACTTATATGGGTATAGAAAGAGGAAATATGAAACACTGTCATTATTTATGATGCAGAAAAATATAAAACAAAAATAAAGATTTCCATTTAAAATAGTGCACTCTTTAGAGTTTGTTAAATGTAATCGTTATTTCTGCAAATATCATTTTTAGCATTGAATTGAAAATATTTTGAAAACGGTATATAAAACAAATACTAGACTGTTAACCTAAATAGATACAGAACATCCTATCTGATATAAAATGTGTTTAGAAATTCGTTTAGAATTTAAAATGTATAAAATATACAGGTGGCTTCTATTTAAAATAAAACAATTTAAAATTTTGTTTCTGACAGATAATTTTTTTAAATTATTCTTTACCTAAAATATGCTAATTTGTACCTAAATTACACTACTACACTACTACTAACAGCAAGTACCCTAATTACACTACTACTAACAGCAAGTTGCATGAGAAACCTTGTATAAAAACAAATAAATAAATAAAAATATAACATACCCTTCCATCCCATTCTGTGTTTTCTTCTACCATCGCAATTGCCCTCTGCAAAGTTTCCCTAGCTTTACTAACTATGCTATCCATTATCTCCACACAGCTCATTCTCCCACTAAAACTGGCCGCTGTATAACCAAAAGTCACGTTAGCTATCAACTTCAAACCGAGCTGACGACTATGCAACACTTTCTGCAGAGTTTCATCCCCTTTGTTTTGCTTCATCGAATTTTTCACCATGAGTCTCGTATCCAAGATCTCTTTTAACATCCTTGGTAGTATACCCTCTCTAACTTTTTGCTTCACGAAAGCCACTCCACAGGGTGCAAAATTTAATAGATCTCTTTTAGAAAGTTTTTCTGTTAGTTTTCGAGGTATTTTGAGTTGGGTTGATCCAAACTCGAAAGGTACGTTCGTTCCTAAATGACGTACTCGACCCAAACAAGTGGTAAAACAATAATTATAACCTATGATAATGGACGGATATAAGCTCTGAAAGTCTAAAACTATAACAGGGTCGTTGTACAGCTTAGATTCTGGCTCCATAACCAAAGGTATAAATTCAGGAGCCTTCATATGAGCGCGTTGTTTGACATTAGGTGACACTGGAACATAGTTAAGTGGTTTGGCCAGACGTAACATCATAGATTCGACTCTGAATTGAGAACCTCTAGACAGAACTTCGTAGAACATAATACCGAAAAGTTTAGCTAACTCGGACGTTCGGTTTATGAAGTCTAGCTTTTGAAATATCTCCAAGACCGTGTCGACTCGTAATAGATAATAACTAACCACTCTATGTCTGAAAAGATTTGTTCTGTGGTCCCACCAAAATGTCAAAGATCTAAACGAGTAAGAAGGCACTCTTTTGTGAAGTATATGGTATACGATTGATTCAAATGTATAACTTTGAAGAGCAATTTCGTGTCTCATTAATCTCCAAGCGTCTAGAACTATTCTACCAATAATATCGGTTTCTAGATCAAAATGTGAAGGTTTTAGTGTATTTTTACCGAATCTGTTGATTTTAGTTCTTCCAAGTAATGGTATAAGGTTTAGTGACAGTGAAAACCCTCTGTCAACCAAGTATCCCCAGGAAAGCATCTGAATTTCGTATCCAGCCAAAATATCTGGATCCCAATACTTTATTTTATCTAAAAACATACTTATAAGCATTTCCTCACTGTCAGCGTAATCAATATCACAGTCTTCCCTAACACCATCCAAAAGATGATTGTTGGGCTCATTCCAGCTGATGGGTAACCGATTTAAAGCTATGACACCTTTAGCTCTGGATTTCTTTGGATGAGTCTCAGGCACGTCGTTTAATACTGAGTAACATATAGCGCATATAGGATCATACTCAGGGTCGGGCTTGAAATCGCCTCGTGTACGTGTATGTAGCTCCATAACCATCGTAGTTAAATATTGGTGTTCTATCACAGCCCTGGCAGCTTGTAGGTCTCTGACCGAATTGTCAAATCCGAAGCTGTTGCTTTGAGTGACGCCACTGATTTCACAAGAACGGTTCTGTTCTTTTCGTCTACATTTCTTTTTTCTGTGATCTATAGTATGTTCTACACTTTGTTTGTTCTCTTTAACAGGGCTGATCTTGGAATCTTCCGATAAAGGTGTACAAGGTGATAAACTCAGCGATAAATCTGATTCGTTTTCCTCATTTCCTGGACTATTTGGAATGAGTATCTTGGCTTGTTCAAACGATAATTCCTCATTTAATTCTGGAGTATCATCTTTTTCTAATTCTAACTGATCTCTACACCATTCAGTAACTTCCCTCACTGAAGGAGGTTTCTTTAAAGGCTGCATTACAATAGGTCGATTTTTACAATGGCTCAGTTTAATGTTTACCAAATTATTTGCGTTTAAAACTAAATTATTCTCTCTAACAAATTTGTTTCTATATTTGTTTAGACTGTCGTTTTTTGAGTTAAATTCTTGCAGATGAATACTAGCTTTGCTGGAAATTTTAAGAATTCTTTGCCCAATTTCTACAACTCCTGTGTAATCATTTACGTTGCTGTAAAAGGGTTCTTGAAGTTTTACAAGGGAAATCTTGTTTTTGGATAGGTATTCAGCAGTTTCAGATCTTTTTGGTGGTTTGAAAGCTGGGGTTAAAAGAACAGGTTTATTTCGGCTAAAATCTTCCAAATTCTTTTCGGTTTTTAGTGAACCACTTCCTTCAGATTTTATTGAACTAGTCTGTGACAATTGACCTAATGCTTTTTTATAAATTTCAGTTGTATTAATCACTTGATAAGATGGAATTTCATTACTAGAATATGCATCATTAGGTGATATAATTTCATGGTTATTATCAGTTTCTCTTTTACAATCATTAATGGGTTGGTAAGATTTGACTTCTGTACTTGAATAAGACTCAAGCGATGATATATTATCACTCTTGCTCTCCAAGCTTTTCTGGGAGCCGGAATGACATTCTTCTATTTTCTGATTTTGTATTTCACATCTATTGGATTGATATGACCTAACAACAACTCGCTCATGGTTTACGTCTAATTGTGTTTTTACTTTTTGAGATAGATCTTCAGAAGATAATTTGATTTCTAAGCTTTCACCAGATATTGGATCTTGACAATTCTGAGAATTATTTTCCTTGCTAGATATGTTCATTAAATTACCAGAAAATGATTCTTTATCAATCTTACGATTTTCAACTAACTCCTCAAAACTTGAAGGAGTAAAAATAGTAGAACATCCTTCCTTAGCTACATAATGAGTGTCTCTATCATATTTTTCGGCTACTGACATATTAAACTTGTGCTTTTCAAAAAACGACGAATTTAAATCTTCATTTTCCGAAAACATATCGGAATCACTATGTCCGTGATTAATACTAGTAGTCGTATCAGATGACCTTGATGAATCTTCAGCATACTCTTTAATTTCTACTTTCTCCAAAGCACTAGTAACTGTCAATTTGTCGCTTGTTTTATGTTTAGGAGAATATGCACAAGACAAATGTTCTTCTACAATAGTGGTATTTGAAGGAAATTCTGAATCAAAACTTATTTTTCGCTTAAAACTACTGGCAGGCGAATTGTATTTTTTATCAGTTGGATTTGTAGTTTGCTGAAAACTGGTAAAACAAAATTACGGCAAAAGTAATAAAGTTACAGGGATAGTAAAATAATATAAAAGACTAACTTACTTTATGTATTCTTCGTTTATCGTGTCCAGCTGCTTTGCTAATAAAAAAACAATGATTTTAATAAAATTGAATTTCATGAATATTTCTTATAACTAACTAACCTAAAGGTAATGATTTTTCTGCAGTTCTTGGAGACTTCTTTGCCGATATTTTTAAAGGGGCATATCCTGTAGAACTTTTATTCTTTTTGATTCTTTTTTTCTTATTTAATAATGGTTCGTCATCTGAAGAGGAATCATCAGCAGCACCATCACAATTTATGTAGACATTCTGACATTTCTCAATAGATGCATATGTATTGTTTTTGCAAGAGTCATTCAAACAAGTTTCAGATTCTTTATAACTAGATATTTTATCTAAAATAAAACATGTAACTGTATCTATGTATCTAGACCCTGACAATAACTATAAAAATTATGCCACAAAAATAAGCAGATTTTTAGTTAAGAATAGTAAATAAAAGATTAGTAAAATATAGTATTGTGTTATTTTTTATAGCTATAATATAACAACGGAATAATGTAACAACGGAATCGTTGCACTAATCGCCATTTAGTTGGTTTGTCTAGAACTGGAAATTATATTCAACTGTTTTTTAATGGAAAAATTATATTTTATTTTTTATTGCACTGTATAACATATTTAAAAATTTACTTATTTTTATTCGTATTATTTTTGTAACTGGAAGTATCAGTATTGATAGAAAATAATATAAAAAATGCTATACTTTATATTTATACAGGGTGTTCCTTAATAACATGGTAATACTCGTATTTAAGGGGGCGATTCTTGGACCTATTCTCAAAAGAAAATTATCTGAATATATGTCCTAAACATCTTAACTTTTGAGATACAGGGTGGTGTAATTAAAAAAAATCATAACACTGATATTATACCTAGATATCTTTACAACATTTGATACATATCTTCTATGCATAAAAATGATTTTTTATGTACAGGGTGGGTCAAATTCGATGCTTTTAAATGGAAACACCCTTTTCTATAGAAGATAGACGAAAACTAATATCGGTGTCTGGAGCTCAATTTTTATCAAAAACATGATGGTGAAAACCCCGCATCAATATCTGTTAGCGTTTCGGAGTTACGGGGTGTTTTTCAAAAATGTGCATTTTTTACAAACCGCTGTAACTTTTTTGCTATTGAAAATTTTGTATTTCTATGAAAACATTTCCAAAGCACCTTTTTACGTAGAATTTAATGTTTTAAGTGAAATTTTTTTTAAATTAATATTTTAAGAGTTATCAATAGAAAAATTGTTTTTTTATTTGGGACACCCTCTATATTTTTAATTATCAGAAAAGAGTTTAAAATTACATTTCCAAAAATATAGCACACTTGATATTTTGTTATAATCCCCTTCGAAATGCAGAATTTTTAAAAGTTCGCCACTTTTAACTAGTAGGCTTTGGACCCCTTATTGATGATATGCCCTTAATGGAACTAGAAAACATTCAAGAATAATTGAATAGCTAACCAAGATCCCAGCCGTAGGCCGTCGAGGCCGCCTGACTTAGTGCCCATGGATCTAATAGTATGGATATATTTGCTGAAGAATAAAGGTTCCTTATTCTTCCGTATAATCTAGACAAGAATTAGAAATACTTAGCAGTTATGAGAGGGTATCTTTCACCCCCAATGAATTAATGAATTCCGCGAGAAATATCCAAAAACTGCCCCGTCTGTTCATAACAGAAGACGGTCGATATGTCGAACACCTGTAGCAAAATCTCATGTCTTGGTTTAAAAAAAATAATCCCCTTCGAAATACAGAATTTTTAAAAGTTCGCCACTTTTAACTAGTATGCTTTGGACCCCTTATTGATGATATGCCCTTAATGGAACTCGAAAACATATTTTTCCAGCAAGACGACGCACCGCCTGTGAACGCTGAAGTTATCAGCAAATTTTTGCAGCCAATTTCAAGAATAATTGAATAGCTAACCAAGATCCCAGCCGTAGGCCGTCGAGGCCGCCTGACTTAGTGCCCATGGATCTAATCCTATGGATATATTTGCTGAAAAGTAAAGGTTCCTTATTCTTCCGTATAATCTAGACAAGAATTAGAAATACTTAGCAGTTATGAAAGGGTATCTTTCACCCCCAATAAATTAATGAATTTCGCGAGAAATATCCAAAAACTGCCCCGTCTGTCCATAACAGAAGACGGTCGATATGTCGAAAACCTGTAGCAAAATCTCATGTCTTGGTTTGCTATTTATTTTTATTGTTATTAGATATAGTTTAAATGTGTTGATGTTAGTTAAATATATTTTAAATTGTTCTAAATTCTGCATCTCTCATAGAAAATATTATTTTCGCTTTTGATGCTCACAGCATTGATGCTCACAGCTATATATTTTTTGCAATACAGCCGGTGTCGTTCAAAGCCTACTTATTTAAAGCGGACGAATTTTTATATACTCTATATCTCGAAGAGGAATCGAGCAAAATATCAAGTGTGTTATATTTTTGGAAAGGTAATTTTAAATTCTTTTCAATAAATTAATAATATACAGGGTGTCCCATATAAAAAATCAAATTTTCTGTTGATAATTCTTAAATTATTAATTTTAAAAAAATTATACTTAAACCATTAAATTCTACGTAAAAAGGTGCTTTGGAAATATTTTCATAAAAATACAAAATTTTCCATAGCAAAAAAGTTACAGCGATTTGTTAAAAATGTATATTTTTGAAAAATACCCCGTAACTCCGAAACGGTAACAGATATCGATATGCCGTTTTCACCATCATATTTTTGACAAAAATTGAGCTCCAGACACCGATATTAGTTTTTGTCTATCTCCTATAGAAAAGGGTGTTTCCATTTAAAAGCGTCGAATTTGACCCACCCTGTACCTACATTTTTTTGTTGTTGTATCTCTTAATTTAAATCCAGCCAATGCATGAAACGATCACACAACAATCACCGCATCAGCGCCTTGAGCCCTTAGTAAAATGACTTTAATTTTTTAAAGCAAAAATTACGAGTCGGACGAAAAAATCAAGAGATGAAAATTGTGTGGAAAAGAATGAAGATTTTAAAAATGTTTATTTAACGAGAAGCCAGTAGCGTACCATTTTTTCTTCAAAATTATTCAATGTAAAACACGTATGAATCCCACTGGTTAAAATAGACAAAAATTGTTTGTGTTTGTGTAGGCACATTAATGCATAGAAAACCTTTATCATGTTTCACAAAGATATCTATAATAGCTAATAGCATCAGAGTAATTATGAAAAAAGAGTTGTTTTAGAAAAACCCTGTACCTCAAAAGTTAAGATGTTGAGGGCATACATTCATATGAAGTGAACACCCTCTATAAAACATCAAAAATAATCATAATTAAAAAATACTAAAACTCATAATCATCTTACGGTAAAGAAAAAAGTAAAAATTACGTAATTTTAAAAGATGTGTTTTTTCATCTTGTGTTAAATGTTTAAAAAACCCTACATATTCTTTAGTTCTTTTATAATATTATGGAAATATACAAACATACAAAACCAAAACTTCTAAAAAATCTAAAATGTATACTTGAATGTATATTACTACTACTAAGACCAAGAAACAATAAAATTACGATCTACTTATATTAAAATAATGCAAGTCTAATTAAAATGTTATATGCGTATTTATGACTACTCTTCATAAAGAAAATCAAAAACATCCCCAATTAATAACAGATGAAATTAATAACGATGCACAATATATAACAAAATTTTTATTTGTAGATGTAAAGTGAAACGCAAAATGATTTAGTTTTAAGTACCTCCACCAATAACATGATAAAACCAGTTAATTATACACTAGGTATATACACTGAACACCTATAGTACCTTACCAACTCCCATGTCAATGTACAGATGAGTCTGCATCAAAAAACACAAGATGGATCATGCCATGCAATTAAAAGTTGTGCTTTGAGAACATCGATCGAGAAAATGGTGTGTAAATAAGACAATCTAACTTTTTTTAGTAAATTTAGGTGAGACGCATACTCTTTTTTATCCATTGAATGTAACTTTATATGTCATAATTCAAACCGTACTGTTCAATCTGGAAATACTTATCCAGGCATTGGAAATGTGTCAGAAAGTTTAAGGATTTGAAAGAGATTTGTATCAATTAATATTATTAATGGTTTTGGTAGAAATATCAAAATTGGCATGTGCTTGTTAAAAGTAACTATTAAACAAATAATAAAACAAATATAACAACAAATTTAAAAGATAAGACATGAAAAAGTCTGCATCGCACATTTTTGTATTCTTTTGTATTGTTTTTAAAGTAATTTCAGTATGAAAGTATAAAAAATATATATTTTTTTAATCTCTGTAATTTTAAACATACAAAAATCTCTAAATTTTGTACTAAACATACAAAGTGTTATTCTCTGAGAATATGACAAAACATAAATATGCCTCAAGAACTTCATAATACAACTCATTTACATCGAGCTTTCATTTTATGAAGCTTCAGAAAAATAAGTACACCTAAAGGAACTCTAAAATACTTATACAAAAATTTCATTTTTGTTTATAACTTAAATATACTAAGATATAAACTTTAAGGTTTAAAGCGGTGTTATATATTATGACTACCAATGGTTATTTATATGACAACGCGCATCTGTGTTTACTTATTTCTCTGAAGATCATCTTTATACAGGGCGTCCCAAGAATAAGTGCAAGTATTTTAACTGGTAGTATAGTACGACTCCAGAAACACGGCCATGAGGTTTTCTGCGAAAAAAAATATTGGAAATTTTATATTTTTCTTGACATTTTCCGGAAAATATTGAAAAACTTTTGAGTGCCGCTTGTTCAGTGTCCGGAAATGTTTTATATTGCTTTGAGAGAATGCAGTGTTGTCACCTCCTACGTTATCCGCATTCTGTATAAGTTATAAGTTCACATTTTTAAATTTCTACAAAAAATACTTGTAGATTACTAGTGGTTTAGTATTAGTATCTACAACGTATACTATTTTAAATACAGTTTCGTAAACTGAAATAATGAAACTTAAAATAATGAACAATTATATACGTAAAACAATTCTACATAAATACAACTTATGATCTAAATATTCCGAGATCGGCATTCCAGCAAGACTCAAAGTCTTCTACCACCGATGAATCCAATGATACTGAACATAAACTGAATAAATCAAATATTTTTTCACCTTCTTTCCGAATTTCTTGAATCAGCGCCCTCTATTAGATATGTAAATAGTCGTAATTGACGTTTGTCCTACATTTAAAAACCCCAGCTGATGTAAATCAGCTGATCTGTTTAGCTGATGAATTTTAGGTTATCAAATTCATTTGATATT